TCGGAGGTGCTGGTGCTCTCGGTGTTGGCGATGACCTGGGTGCATTAGGCGGCGGCGAGGGAGCTATTGAAGGCTTCGGAGGAGTTAGTGGAGGATTTGGAGACAGTGGAGCAGGAGTTGACGGAGGATTTGGAGGCAATGGAGCAGGAATTAACGGAGGATTTGGAGGCAATGGAGCAGGAATTAGTGGAGGGAATGGAGCAGGAATTAATGGAGGTTTTGGAGGCAATGGAGCAGGTGGTAATGGAGGATTTGGAGTTGAATTTGTTGGTGCAAATGGGGGAAGCGGTTCTTTTAGTGTTAGTAGCGGCAGCCCATCAAACCTCTACAACAACCCTTAAGATAATTGAGGCTTATTTTCGATTCAATACATTGTTATCTATTTTTCATTTGTGATGTTTGTTTGCGTGTTTATAAGTACAACTGAATAAAGAATTTATAAAATTAAAAAGGAAAATGTATATATATATATTTACCTTCGTAAAGGCATATAGAAGCTTAACTCAATTCAGTTACATATATTGATTGAGACTAGCCTAAATAGTGTCTAATAAATCATCGTGCTACACTACATGAAAATAATGGAAATTTTACTTGAAAATTCTTATTGTAGATTAAAATCTAAAATAAGAGTAACGGCTTTTATTATCATTGTCACTGTTACTATTACTGTTACTGTACCTAGTAGTAGTTGTAGTAGAATCATTTTTTTATGATTATCATCTTTATTATCATTATTATTGTTGTTGCTGTTGTTGCTATTATTACCATCCTTGTTTCTATCATCATTTCAATATTGATATTTATCATTATCCTTATTATCACGATTATCAACATTATTCTCATCATTATAAGCAGGAGTAGTGATATCAGCAATAAGATATCAATAATAACAACAGCAAAGGAATTGGCAACAGTATTTATTATCATGGTGGGAGCATAATTACCTTATATAGGTAATTCCAGAAGGGAAACAAAAGAAACATCGGTACTGATAGTAAATTAATAGATAAATTAATATATATATATATATTATATATATATATATATATATATATATATATATATATATATATGTGTGTGTGTGTGTGTGTGTGTGTGTGTGTGTGTGTGTGTGTGTGTGTGTGTGTGTGCAATATATATAAAATATAATGTAATATATAATGTAATATGTATAGAAATTGATATGAGATATATATATATATATATATATATATATATATATATATATATATATATATATATATATATATATATATATAATGAATATAAAATATAGTATAATATATAATGTATATATAGTATATCGTATATATGTATACATATACATGTACATATATATACATACACACACACACACACACACACGTATATATTTATATACATATATATGTACATACATATATATATATATATATATATATATATATATATATATATATATATGTGTGTGTGTGTGTGTGTGTGTGTGTGTGTGTGTGTGTGTGTGTGTGTGTGTGTGTGTGTGTGTGTGTGTGCATATTAAATTCGTGTATGTTCCTGTGTAAAGTATATTTTTTGTGTCTTTAATTACTTATTGTACCCAAAATTTGGGAAGTCCTTGTAGCATTCGTTTCACATACTACCCCTACCCCCTTTACATCAAAGTACATCATCGCCTGTTTCACCAATTACTGTAACTTGCTGGACACTATTATCTTCCGATTTCCCAAGCTTAGAAATCGGCAATAAAAGAATGTATTAAAACTATATTGTATTTAAAATGTGATGTTTTCTATTCTATCGAGATGTAACAGCACATTAAAAGGAATTATGCTATCACTGGTCTCCAAGGTATAAACAATTAGAGAAATGGTTTCCTTTTATCGGTAAGGAAATCATGCGCTAATGTGTGTTTAGGTGTGTGTGGGGGGGGGGGGGGTATGTGTGTGTTTGTAGGTGGATGTGAGTACATGTTTAATATTATTATTATTATTATTATATTATTATTATTATTATTATTATTATTATTATTATTATTATTATTATTATTATTATTATTATTTGTATTATTATTACTTTTATTATTATCATCATTAATATTATTATGCATGCAAGTCTGGTTGCGTTTATTCTTGCTATTACATGAAACCTGATATTTCTCCCGAAATTATGACTTTCAGTTTCTACATTACTATACGTATCCACTGTTTTTTTGAGTAGACAAAACTGGCCATTCTTCTCTAACACTTGTCTAGAAGACCTGAAGAACTTGCACCGTCCTAATCCAAATATTTTGTCAAGTCATGGCAGTTCACATCCTTCCCTTTTTTTCCTTTCGTGAATCAAGCAGTGACCTTTTTCTTAGTGTGAATCATGCTAGTATTTTTTTTTTTTCGTTGTTTGACTGTTTTCTAGTAGGTTCACCCACTGATTTATCTAATTTGCATATTGACTTCTCATCTTCGACCAATCTGACAACCTTTCGCTTTCAAACACCAACATTGATTAAAAGGCCGAT